ATGCCACGCCCACCAAGCCATGCCCACCAAGCCATGCCACGCCCACCAAGCCACGTCCACAGAACTGGTAGTAAAATTTTTTGAATCTCACCACTGCTCAAAATGACTTAGGATAGACTTAGTTCATGCTTAATTGGAGGACTCAAGGGATTTGCATGGTTATAAGTGAGAACTGAAAGTCAAAGAACAACTCCAAACGTCCTGAAGGAATGTGTCCATTAAATCACCAGGAGTCAAACTCATTTTATCTTTACCTTTTCCCTACTCTGGCAAATACTCATGGAGATCAAATAGGTTTACAGCAATCACTGCACTTCTATTTTCCAAGTATCTTTCTTGAATGAGTGCTTCTAAATGCTGCCAATATATTTTATGTTCTGGCTTACTAAGTGTAAGCTTAGTGTGTGTGTGTGTTTATGTATATATGGATTTTTCTGTTCATTCTTGTGTCCTTATTTTTATAGGCTCCAGCACTTGGAAGAGTACATTTAAAATATAATCTATACATGTTCCTTATTAGAAATATTGCCAATAAATACAATTTGCAACTCTAAAATAGAATGAAATTAAGAGGCATTATAGTATAGTGGTTAAGAAGTTGAGCTTGAAAGCTTCCATTTGATTCACTGAGCAACTGAGTCAGGTATTATTTCAGACCAGCCTTCCCCTGGGGCATTGCTGTAAGAGTAAAATGACAGACCCTCTACTTACACTGCTTCAAGTACAACATAAAATAACAAATAATTAATAAATATATAAATAATGATTTGCAGTGAGAAAAAAATGTTTAGAGATCCCCAAATGGTCTAGTTCAGAGTTTACGGGAACTGACGTATGGAACAAGTTTAGAACATAACAAGAAAATTAGTTGTACAACAGTGTTGGGATTAAGCCAGTTCGCACCTATTCAGGAAAACCGGTTGTTAACTTTCTAAGCAATTCAGAGAACCGGTTGTTGGAAGAAACCTCCTTTTGTTTTTTTTCTACATTACATGGCTAATCCTGTAAGGAAGGCAGGAAGGAAACATTCTGGTGTTGTTTCTAGCTGATCTTTATTGCCCTGCTTAAAGAAACTGCCTCTCCGGGTAACCCTTATCACATTGTCACAGCTAAGGTGAAGCACCCATCGACATGAGTGATGTTGAGTTGGCCACGCCCACATGGTCACATGACCACTGAGCCTCACCTACCCAGCTGGTCATTAAGGCAGAGAACCGGTTGTTAAATTATTTGAATCCCACCACTGTTGTACGAATAAGATATTTCATTTGACAGTGTATTTTAAAATGCTGAGGAATCAGAGGATGACTCAACAGAGGTTTGTTTAGAAATTAGTCATTTCAAAGTACCTTTCTCTGTCCTTGTGGAGTTTTCAATTTGAATGCTGGGTTGGCATGTCCATTCACTTCCTTCTGTACGGGAGGAGGTATGCTGTATCCAAACAATAGGGACAAACAAGTATTATGAATCATTTCTGCAATTGCACTTGCTTTATTTGTATAACAGTTTCTCTTACAAATAAAACCACATGTTTTTATCTAGACTAACATTGGAAAAAGCCCAATATACTCAGTAGCCAAATTGTAACAATTCATATTTCTATGGGTGAAATCTCTTGTTAAATATAACAAGAGACTTCTTTTCATAATGTTCCTAGCAGGAGATCTATAGGGTAAGTGCTGACAGGTCTGAATAGTTATATAAAATCTAAGTGGAATTAAGCCCTGGATATATTTCATATTATAGCTCACACACCATACTTAGGCTCTTATATGTAATTCACCTCTTACATGTACTCAGCCACTGGGTTTGTAAATCAATTTAGGGAAGGAATCTACAGAGTGAGATTTGCCAAAGGTAACCTTTCCCTAAAAGCTTGAGTATGGTCTCCAAAGCTTTTCCAGAAACTTTAATGGTAACTTTATAATATATGTACAGCATATAAATAAAAGAATGCTGGATTTTCATGCATATGTATCCAGAAATCAAATGGAATATGAGGGGATATGAGCAACATCACATCAACCCTCATGCTTACTTACCATAAAAAAAGCAATCATCTCACTTACTGACAAATCATCCACCCACCCACCCACCCACCCACTCATTCATTCATTCACCTGGACTGTTCGGTTTTCTTGGGAGCAAAGATAGCCTTCTTAATTGGCACAAGTTTGGCTCTCCATTTGTAACAGCAAAAAGCTATTCCAATTAAAGTCAAAAGCAAGACAGAAACCAGGACACCTATGATGATTGGAATAGGACCTGGACCAGAAAAAAAAAGTCAAAATTATTCAAATCCACTGATTGTGCTAAAATGCAACCACCACAAAAAAAACCCACCCACTGTAGGATGCCAGCATTTGAATACCTAATAGTGAAGGGCAATATCTGTATTGTGCGTACCAATGCTGAATATGAGAGAGATGAAAACTTCACTTGCCAAATCCCATCTTCCGCTCAGTTATATTGGTATGGTCCACCCAATACACTGTGGTTCTGTGCCTCCCCTGCTCAGCCAAATCCCTGCCCCACAAGCTCTGTCCACATGTCAATGGTCAAATAACAATACAAATTGCACCCACTTTTTTCAAGCATGGGGCCACTGTCCAGGCTTCCTCCCTTTCCAGGTTTCTCACAAAATGGAGGTGCCCATCCACTGAAACAATGGCAGTTGTGATTATTGTTGCAAACCTGTTTTGAGAGAACACCATCAGTGTTACTTCTGTAGTAAACATCCTGCTCAGGGTAACCCAAATAGCACAAGAAGCCTTTGCAACTTGCCTTGGATTTTGTTAGAGCTCAGTGCATTTAAAAGTCACCCCAACGATCCATGGTTATATCCATCATCCCCCCCGCCCCCCCAAGAAATGCGGGGTTTGAACATTCTTTTCATTTTTAACACTTAACCCACAAAGGTTATATTTCCATTTTTCAAAATTCACTTTGGGTTATATGTGCATTCCTGAAGAGGAACAGAAATGACTTCCCGCTATTTTTAACCTCCCAATAAATACCCTCTCCATAACAAATGGCCATAACTTCTTCTCAAATGTAAAACCACAGCTTAAAGAAAGCCTCCCCTTCCAACATTTGATATTTAAGGTCAGTATAATACTTCATAGCCCATCTTTATGTTATGAAGAGAGTCCTAAGATTTGTTTAAAACTGTGAGAGAAGTGTTAATTTAATCTTGCATGACGGACACCTACTCTAACATTTTGAATTCTGTCTCCCCATTCCACCACCTCTTAGCCACCACTTGGGATTGTCTAGTGAACAATCCCATTTTTACTATAAAAATATTCCAAGAAAAATATATCATAAATACAAAATGTTTTGTTCCATGAAAAATACAAAAGCATTTATAACCATTGAAATTTTACTTTTACTGGTTATTTTATTGTTCTCATCAATTCCTATTCTGTTTTGCTTACTTAAAAATGGGCATTTTGCTGTCAAATTTTAGCCACGTGATTTCAAGTCGCTAGAAGGAAACAGATGGGGTACTAGGAGGACACATGTAGTGTACATTTCTGTTCTAAAATATATAGTTGGTCAATGCACAAATTAAACTGATTTTAAACAATATCTTTGATCACCCTTCCAGAGGAAGAGTTTATTTATTTATTGGATTTTTAACCCACCTTTATTATTTTATGAGTAACTCAAAGCAGTGGCCGTACATAATGTTTGTAATATATTCTCTCCTCCTATTTTCCCCACCCGAAATGGGTTGGGCTAAGAGAGCGAGTAGCTCATGATCATCCAGCTGACTTCCATGGCTAAGATGACTAGAATTCATAGTTTCCTGGTTTCTAGGCTAACATCTTAACCATCATACCAAACTAACTCTCCAAATACACTTGAACTGGAAGTCCTTCTACAGCCAGGCATATCTTTGATAGGACACCTAGATGGATGCTATCTAGACTGCTTATTAGTTTTCTGAAACCCAACAAAAAGAATAAGAGCTGGCCAAGAAAGCAAGCAATAAATACAGTCACATGGTATCTGAATACAAGGACAGATACTTACTCCATGGCCATTGCACTTTTTCCCACAATGTCCACTATCAAAGAAGGAGGTATTCTGACAGTGGCCCTCAAAGCACACCTGTAGGAGAAACCGGATATTCAGAATTATATTAGAGTAATGGTTTTTAAAATGTGGCTCTAAGTCACCAAAGGCCCTGTCAGAGGTCCATGAAACCAAAATGATTTGCCAACATATGTTTAAAAGCAACACAGTATTAAAATCCTAGAGAATGTGTCTATTTTAATCTTTAATATAGTAAAAAATGTTTAAGAAATGCTGTACTACAGGTATAATGCTATTAAATGATTTGGGTACAAGGCAGGCTTGGGGTGTAAAACCACTGCATCAAGTCTGAGAAGCCAACTCTTGCAATTATCCCATAGGCAAGGTCGTTGCTCTCAGCATCTGCTTAAGGCCAGCATGGCCTAACTAATAGAAGTAAATATATGGGAAGAAGGAGAAATAGTTTATGGGGGATGGTTACTAAACTAAGTCCCCCAAATTCCATAAATCTGTAGTGCTGCATCCAACATGTTGTGTAGAGTGTGAATACATCCAGGTTCAAGACTTGTAATGGGAGTGACAGCATTGGTCTTAGCCAAAGAGCAGCCTGCTCCAAGGGAGTGAAGCTACACGCTGCACATCCTTATTGTTCATTCTGAGGATTCCCTTTGGGTTTTTCTCTTTTTTTTTTTTCCCAAAGTTGGATTAAACATCTAAAACAAATTGTTGCACGCAATTAATTCTGGGAAAAAGCAAACATGTATTTTTAAAGTGGAATAAGGTACAATGGGCAGCCAGTGCTTACATGATTGTTACCACATTTGGTTCCCGTCATCACAAGTCCTGGGTCTAATATATCTCCTTCATCTTCTTCATTTCGATAGACGTGGGTCCCACGACAATGAATTACTCTTCCATTTAATTTGATAGTTGTATCAATTGCAACAGCATTGGACTCCAGAGGCTTGGAAGCAGAACTTTGGCACTGTATCTTGCCACATTTAGCATTTCTGGAAAGAAAAAAATTCTGTGAGTCTCAATCTTACAGCTAAGATCTTAGCTTCACACACACCCAACACAAGGGCTTCCATAACATTATTCACTTCCAATAAAATGAAGAGCCTTGAGGGACCTAGTGAAACACATTCCATGTTACGGGTTGAAAAGTATTATTTCTTAGATGCTGAATATCCTATTTCATGTTCACTGACCTCAAAATTACCCTACCAATAATAGGGTAAGTAAAAACCCAGTGTCATAGAGAGTTTTATGTACATGTATTCAGACATTTACAGTGACTTTCCATTACTTACTGAGATCAATTTCACTTCCGCATTTCATTAATAAAACTGTTGTTTGCCTTGTGTATCTAAGGATTTTGGAATTGCAAGCAAATGAGCATGCTTATAGTTGTAAGACAAAATATGGCTTGAAGAGCAGTTTGATATCCCTCCTTGGACTACTGTGTCTCTTTCTTTTCAGTATTAAGTTTGGAGAGTCCCAATCCATATTGGGTTCAAAGTATTGGTGGTTTTTTTCTTTTTTCTTTTAAAGGGGGTTACTTATGAAAACAATCTGGAATTGTTGAAAAGCTTTAAGCTTCAAAAGATTTTTTAGAGAAATCTGCTGGAAGAAAGAAGGAGCTCTTTCCCCAATCTGGATTGGGGAAAGTTCTTCAGATGATACATTCACACAACCCACGAGTCCTTTCTCTGCTGTTTAATTGACATATTGTTTATGTATGCAATAAGGAACAGCAGGAAAATGTTCATAGATATGAGGTCATGAAAAATAATCTCTCTCTTTCCACAGCCAGAAAAGTCAGGGTATGAACTTGTTCTGAAAGATTTTAATATAAGCAAAGCAAAAGTGACAATTTTGTCCAACAAAATGGCCAAATAATTTGCAGCTATTTGCAACATAGGCTGGATTCATTTTTCTCATCTTTTAACTTGTGAGGATACTGCTTTATCTCATCTCACATGAAAACAGTTGGCCTTGTGTCTTTCTACCTTGTGTCGCACTTCCTGTAGTTCCCACTGATATCCTTCCCACAGTTCCCATAGGAATCTCCGGCAGCATTAACTCTCTCAAAGCAAAGGTCGGGGGCTGGCCTTGCTCCTGTATGGAAAAGATTCACAAAGTGTTTGTGAAAGGTAACTTACCAACTGTATCACACAGCTGCATAGGATTGTCCTAGCGCACTCTGCAAAATATATTTCATCTAATCTTCATGTGGTTTACCAGATAATGATTACAGGTAGTCCTAGGCTTACAACAGTTCATTTAGTGACCATTCGAAATTATGGCAGCATTGAAAAAAGTGACTTATGACCGTTTTTCACATTTAGGAATATTGCAGCATCCCATGGCCACCTGATCAGAATTCAGATGCTTGGCAGCTGAGTCATATTTATGGTGGTCGCAGTGTCCTGGAGTCATGTGATCACTTTTTGTGGGCTTTTGACAAGCAAAGTCAAGGGGGAAGCCAGATTCACTTAAGAACTGTTACTAGCTTAACAACTGCAGTGACATGCATAACAACTGTAGCAAGAAAGGTTGTTAAATGAAGCAAAACTCAATTATGATGGCAAGTTGAAGACTACCTGTATTCATATACAAATAATCAATGATTATCTATATCTAACATATCTCTCTATCTATCTTGATCTCCCCATCACAAGACCCACTGATCACACGAAGCCCTTATAAGCAGAAGAACACTGACATCACCTAAACTCTGCTGAAAATGTTACATAGCCTGGTAATGAAATGTTCAGAAAACAACCAACAAGCTCAGAGAACGAACTTCCACTCTCACAAATATATACCTTTGGTTATTTGTAATAAAAGCATTAAGAAATATCACGCTGCATTTGTGATATTTGTCACTTGGGATGAAAGTTTGAATCAATTTTCAAACTTAAAAATAAAATAAATTAAAAAAAATCACCCAGACTTGACTTGGCTAAGTCACACTATGGTGTTCTGATTTAGTGTGTTATGTGTGAACCAGCCACTGCACTTTAAGAATCATGTTAGGATTAGGCTAGAGTGATATGGGCTCAATCAACATGTTACCCGACAAACCGTGATTCAGCAAAGCAAGGCTTAGAATTATGCATAAAAGTAGCTGCCTGGCCTTTATTGATAACAATAGCCTCTGCGGATGAGCACCTGCATTTTCCCTTTATTCTTCTTTCTTCATGTAATTACAGTTCCATAAACTAAAAATAAGGACAATCTTCTCCTTCCTTTTCCTTACACCTGTTAATACAAGGGCCCTCTGTCGTTCATAGAGATTGGTCCTCCTTACCAGATCCCCAGAGCTGCAAACATTGTTGCTCGTACGTCAGACACATTCCATTGTAGCAATATGCCCTGCCATCCTCGCATGGGGTACCGTCCATCTGATAGAAGTTTGCAGGGCAAAATGGTGATTTGCCCGAACAGTATTCCGGTAAGTCGCATGTTCTCTCCTGTTCCCGGCAAAGAGTTCCAGGTGAAACCAACTAAAGGAAGGGAAAATAATTAGACATTTATTTCAGGATGGTGTGGAATACTTGGCATTTTCGTTAAGGTGGTTAAGCATTGATCTTGGTGCTTAAAGATGTATCATAGATTTATTCTAAAGCCAGACTGACTTTCTGTTCTCTTCATTCTGTATACAAATATCATTTCCATTCAACCTAATTCCTGAAGCATCACTAAAGAGAACAAACTCTTCATTTTTGCCCCCAAATTACATTTTTGTTGTCTCAACTCTACAAAAAGAGTCTCTTTTTGTCAAATATCCGAGGACATTTTTTCAAACAAAAGAAATCTTGAACCATGTCCTAATCTAGTCTTCCTGCTCAGTAATGCTTCATTATGAATCTTATACCTTTACTCCATAGGGGAACCCATAACAGAGGGAGAGACCAGAGTTGGGATAGAAAATATTAAGCCTCATAGTAGCCTCAATGACTCTATAAAAGAATGCAAATGACCAGCTGTCTGCAAGGAGTATAAATCTTTCCATTCTCCACCATCCAGCCAGAGCTGAAGAAGCTGCTTGGATGAGAAGTGAAACGTCTTCAAAGAAAAACAAGAAAGCCCTGTTGCCTCTTGAAAAAGCATCTTTGGGATGGAAAATATTCCATATTCAATTCCCAGCATTTTTTTAAAAAAAGTATATTGTATTTATTGCTTAAAAGCCCTTGGCGGGATGAACTGATAACTTTTAGGGAGCAATTTAATGGACACAGAGCCAATAGAACATCTGGTATATATTATATACATTTTAAACAAATCATTTTAACAGGCAATATTCTGCTAGCACTAGGCTACCCTATTTATTTTCAGGCAGATCATGCTTCTGAAGCTGATTCTGGAGCTTTCTTTGCTTAACAAATGCAAGAAAGGGAAATAAATTACTGTTTGCATGCAACACTTAAGAATCAGATACTTTTCATCCTAATGGGGGATGTGGTCGCTGCTTGAATTTGCATGGAATGTAGTGTATTTTTCAGAGTATAAGATGCACTGGAGCATAAAACGCACCAAGATTTTGAAGAGGTAAATTAAAAAAAAGTTTTTGTCCTCCCCAGCTCCAAGGAGCACTCTGCAGGCATCCCAAACCATCTGCACGCTCCGATTTTTGTGAAAAATGGGGCATGCAGAGAGTTTGGGAGGCCTGCAAAGTGCTCCTGGGGAGGGCAAAAATGCGATGCGTGGGGCTTGATCTTCTTAAAGAGTAAGGCTTTTATCTATCTCAAATCCACTTTTCTCTACCTCTCCCACGGCAGGGCAGGACGAAACAGCTCTCTCCGTGCTTTATTATTTTTCCCGTTCCCTTGGACTGGCATAAAGGAAAGGAGGCTGCCTCATCACACACACACACATCCCAAATCCGCCCGGATCCGTCAGCAAAGAGATACGGTAGTTGGGCTCAATAGCAGCAGTAGCAATAACCATTGCATGACAGATCCAGAGAGATTGGGGTGGGGGGGTGGAGCAAGGGAAGAGAACCAATCTCCTCTGCACAAAGACTTTTCTTAGGACCCCCCGATCTCCACTTTCTCTCCGGAAAAAGCTATTGGCATCATTGGGATTTTAGCTAGTGAAAGAAGCGCTAGATGGAAAGGAAACTTTAGAATGTGGCAGCTGCCAGGCTCCAGGAATACAGTGCTCTTGTATTCTGAAGTTCCCTTTTCATCCTGCACTACTTCTGTGAGGAGCCGCTGCCACCACTGCCACCGCCTGAGCCCTCCCGGGAAACGAGACGAGCGGGAACCCCGAAAGTGAAATGTCTCTCCTTTCCAGCCATCACAATCTCTGCAGCGCCCCCTTCACCTGCCCCTTTTCCAGACGACCCAGGCAGCTACATTCGGAGTATAAGACAGACTAGAGTTTCACCCTCTTTTTTGGAGTAAAAAGGTGTGTCTTATATTCTGAAAAATACGGTACTTTTGCTCTGTGATGGTATCCAGACAGCTGTATTCAGCTGTCGCCATGTAAAGGACTAAGCTTTTGAATGCCACCACAAACAATCCAAAATATCAAATGGTAGGGTGTGCAAAAATCCAAATGTTGCCTATTGAGTGGCTTTGCCTGACCAGTTGGCCACAAACGTATGGGCAACTTGAGCAGCAATTTTAAGCAAACCCAAGGGATGCATTTATGAAAGCGGGGCCTCCAGGAGACGTATGGGAAAAACCCAGCATACCAAGACTATTTTAAGTACATTTTCCTAAGAAAGCTATAATGTAAAGTGATACACAGGAATCTTTTGTCTGTATATTTATCTACTCCACCCTACCCAAGAAAGGAAGCTCAATCTGTAGAGAAATTCAGATTTCTCAAATTCAGTAAAATATAACAGACAACAGAAAACTATCAGTAAGAAGCAGAGTCAGAGAAAACTTTAAATGAAGGTTTTGTCTTGCCAGACACCACATATAAAAAAGATTGGTAATGCAAGCAAGCTGAAGGCTTAACTTCAGGCCCAGCTGGGTCAATCACCTCCTTTGAAAGACAAGCTTCATGTCTGTAGTTCTAATCTCAGGGTGGGACTAATTTTAGCCAAAACAGCTGCTTTGGGCGGCTTCCCAAAGATATAAAAGTGAGAAAATCAGAACTTGGTTGTCTTTATCTGTCCTTTGCAATCCAGCAAGAGATGCATGTAGTGGGTACTGTCAGCCAAGGAATGTCAGTTGGTGGGGCCCTGAAAAAGAATGGCGGCAGCCCTCTGGAACACGATCCCTCCAGAGATTAGGTTGGCCCAATTCTGCCGGCCTTCCACAGGGCCTTGAACACCTGGTTCTGTGTTCAAGCTTAGGGTCTTGAGTGTATGACAGCAACTGTTTCCTGGCTATACTGAGGGCTCTTTATGATTCTCAAGCTTCTATGTGTTTTATTATGCATTTTATTTATTTTATTTATATATTGTTCTTAATATTGTGAGCCACCGAGAGTTAGGTACTTGAGATGGGCAACCATATAAATTGAATAAAATGAATAAATAAACTTCAGTTTTGCTTAGGCTTCTCTGCTTTGTCTTGACACCTGTATCAGTTCAGAAAGTTGGCATGTCATGAATTTGTTTTGGTAGCATTTTTCAAAAGTTATTCATTCTTACCTTCTTCCTAGGACTGAGAAAGAATAACTGACTTGCTCTCCCTGATATCCAGGTAGCTTTCATGTCTAGGACAGGACTACAATTCATAATCTCATAGTTTCTAGGCCATGTCCTTAATCATTAATCAAACTCACTCTATGAACTTTTGCACAATGTCATAAAATTCCTGGTAACAAGTGGAATTAGCCATACAATAGCAAAATCCAAGGCCCTTGGACAGTTGCACAGTTAAACAAACACCTGTTTTAAATGACTGAGTTTCCTGAGAATGAATGCAGAAAGAATGTATGCATATTTGTAAGTAAAATTATTTCCTGATTACAACTTCTGCAATTCTGTATGTTGTTGTTGTTGCTAGTTGCGAAGTCATGTCCGACCCCTCGATGTTCCTCCAGGCCTTCCTGTCCTCTACCATCCTCTGGAGTCCATTTAAGCTCACGCCTACTGCTTCAGTGACTCCAGCCAGCCACTTCATTCTCTGTCATCCCATTCTTCTTTTGCCCTCAAATAGTTCCCAGTATTAGGCTCTTCTCCAGTGAGTCCTTCCTTCTCATTAGGTGGCCAAAGTACTTGAGTTTCATCTTCAGGATCTGGCCTAAAGAGCAGTCAGGGTTGATCTCCTCTAGGACTGACCGGTTTAATCGCCTTGCAGTACAAGGGACTCACAGGAGTCTTTTCCAGTATACATTCTGTATACTTAAACCCAAACATTTTAACACATATCCTTGAGTTATGACAATGGTGTGTGCGTGTGTGTGTACGCACGCAGGTGCGCACATGCACAAACGCACACAGAGTGTGGCATGTTAAGACACACTGCTTGATAGGTGGTTATGATAGGTGGACTGAACCTTCTGGCCACCTGAAGCTGGGGTTCTTTAAGGCCTTCCCCCACAATCTCTACTCCTTTCCCCACACCCATGGGGATCCTCTTTGGTATTGTGCCACCAACCCAGTCCTCTCTGGCACTTAATTACTCACAAGTTGATGAAGCAATCATGTAACCCAAACCCTGCTTTTCTTCCTGTTGCAGTGATTCAGAAGAGGATGTGTGTCCTGGGACATCTTTCCAAATCAAAGTGCTGATTCAAACGAGAATTCAAGCCTTTATTATGTATATTGAAATTAAGAAAATAATCAAGAATTGAAAGGCACAGGAAAAAGGAAGGTAATCCCACCTTGCATTTGTGACAGCAAGTTCCATGCGCACACTCAGCGCCCTGCTTCAGAGTGCAATTAGCAGCATTGCAACAAGGATTCTGACATTCCTGTACAAGAAATAACAGAAATTACACGTGCTACAACTGACAGAACAGATGTTCTATATCTGAAAACATTGGAAAGCATTTTGCTGTCTTACTGGGTGGCTTGTAAGATTGTAGCTAGATATGCTTTTACTTTTCATGCCAAGCATAACAATCTCCAAGAAGCTTCAAATTTGCCTCTTAAACATGTCACATCTGGGACTCAAATACTTCAATTCTCAAAAAAAAGAGAGATCAAAAAACCAAAATATCAGGTCTGAGTTTCTCAAACAATGGAATCTGAACTTAACTTTCTTGGACAATTGCATCAGTTGCTTGCTGCTATTTTATCTGAATACTTAATTTCTAATGCTTTTGGGTTGCAATCATAGATTCTAAGCTCTAAAACGAAGAGGAATGATCTTTCTTTCAAGTAGCAAAAAAGGGAATGAGGAGGTGTGGGTGGAAGGAAATGACTCTGGAGTTTCTCCCCATGTTCATTAAATTACACTAAGCCACGTTGCTACAATAAACAGAAGCTTTCAAACCAGAAAAAATATTTGGTGGAGGCAATAATAGGAAAGATAACTAGAGGAACATACTTCTCATTATTTCTTAAGGAATACCTACATAAATACGAATTCCCAACTGACTCTGAAAAATCAAAAGGAATTACCTCCACTTCTCCACAATCACATTCTTCCCCTTCTTCCAGATACCCATTTCCACACTTCTGTCCTCCATATAAGGTCCTTGTATCTGGCATATTGTAAAGACACATCCCACCACCAGATTGCAAATATCGTTCCAGCTCTTTCCTATTGCATTCGTTGAAGACTCTGGGGAAGGGTGCCCTATAAAACACCCAAGGAGCAATCTTGAACTGAGTGTTATTATTCAAGCATTAGTACCTCTGAAAAGTTCCAGTAATAAAGTTGGGCTTTTTTTTAAAAAAAAAAAAAACCAATAAAATGCACATTAACATAAAAAGGAAAAGGAAAAAGGGGGAAAGAGGGAAAATTTAAAAAGTGACAAAAATACATATAAAATAACATAAAATATAAAAATGATGTTTTCAATACAATTATATAGTACAACAACTTCTAAGTTTGAGTAAACATTTAAAGAATTAACAACCAGTATTAAAAAACATATTTGTAGTTTAACTTTAATCTAAAGCATAGAAGCTTATTAACTGTAAATAAATCATAGCCGTATACAAGTAGTCCTCAGTTTACATCAATTCATTTAATGACCATTCAAAGTTACAATGGCACTGAAAAAATGACTTATGGCAACCATTGCAGTATCCCCAATGTCATATGATCAAAATTTGTACATTTGCAACTGGCTCATATTTATATAAAATCCATGTTATTAACTTAACAACTACAGTGATTCATTTAACAATTGTTTCAAGAAAATTCATAAAATAGGACAAAATTCATTTAACAACTGTCCTGCTTAGCAACAGAAATGTTGGGCTCAATTGTGGTCTTAAATCTAGGACTAGCTCTATTTGACAATCCACAATATTTCTGTAGTCAAATTAAATCTAATCCTCAAATCTCAAAGTCAAAGCTTCATTTTTCTGTTGATCTTGCAGAAAATCTAAGAGTCCCCAGGCCGCAAGCTCTACTTGTTCCTTTAATAAATATTATTGTAACCTTGGTGACTCACTTGACTGAGTTCATAAAAAGTAGGACGACTATTTGAGGGGAAGGAAGGAAAGAGGAGAAAAAGTTGGTCCACTTTGCTGGAAAGTTGATGTTGGCGGAATGACAATTATGTCCCGGATCATCTCTACAACAAGGGCTATAGCTTCAAATGACAAATTCTAACTTGCCAGCTGCCTAATTGGAAATAATTGCCTTTGGAAGAGTAACTAAAATATTTGGATCCTGAAGAACCAGATATACTTTTGGATCAAGTGCCTATTAAGGTGAAAACAAGCAGTGCATATCTCTTTGGGTCAAAGAAGGAATTTGGTTTTGAACTGATACTCTCTAAATGTGAACAGTGTTTTGCTCATTTTTTAAATATACAAAACAGCTGAAAAAAAATTAATTAATGCTGACTTTTAGCAGTAAATTCTATTGAGACAATGAAAAAAGGGTACTGTGATGTCTTGTACAGTGTGAAATTACTGTATAATATTGAATTATAAGATTACTTAAATATAATACTAAATACTTGTGATGTTACAATATAAGCCCCGACTTTTGAACATGTGTACCTTTCTTGCCTTATCACACTGTTGTCCATCTTGCCTATTTTGATCTTGCCTATGGATGCCCTGAATGGGTTATGTATCAGTCATGGCCAAAAAAGTAATTCAGATAGAGCCCCTTTTTTGTGAAGGCCTTCATTTAAGTAAAACATTTCATTTCAGAGCCCTGGTGGCACAGTGGTTAGAATGCAGTATTGCAGGCTACCTCCAATTTGGCAGTTCGACTCTAACCAGGATCAGGATTGACTCAGCCTTTCATCCTTTTGAGGCAGGTAAAAGAAGGACCCAGATTGTTGGAGGCAATATGATGACTCTGTAAACCACTTAGAGAGGGCTGTGAAGCACTGTGAAGTGGTATAAAAGTCTAAATGCTATTGCTATTACTGTGAATCTTTTGTACATAAACAACTTACCCTGTTGCAGCAGCCATAATACATCCTCCATCTCGGGGACTGGCAGAGCAGCAGCCAACTGAATCATGACTCATGCCAAAGTTGTGGCCCATCTCATGGGCCATAGTGGCAGCAACTCCAATGGCATTTTCAGAGTGATCCTGTCCAAGCACAGAATGAAGATGACTTAATATTACAATTATATTGTATATAAAATTATATTTCCTCCTCCTGGCTCATTCAGCCAAGGAGAGTGCATTAAGATCATACCACAATCTTGTCTATTTTAAATACATGCCAGTTGCCATGCACTCAAAGTTTGATCGCGTGATTGTGGGGATGCTATAATATTTGTAAGCGTGAGAAGTGGTCATAAGTCATTTTTCAGTGCTGTTGAATGGTCATTAAATGAATGGCTGTAAATCGACGACTACCTGTAGAAGGGAATACATTCTTACAAAAAGGGCCTACTCATAGTTCATTCTACCAAATAATTGGCTTGTTATAGTGACCAACCCACATGAGAGAAGTACTGTTTGTCCTGCCAAGAATTAATATTCAGATGTATACATCTTGCGAACATGAAGAATTATCAACTGAAAGATTCAAATTCCACCCATTTATTTAATCCTGTTTTAAAGCCATTTAAAATAGTGGCCATAATTGGTTTTGTAGTAGTTTAGTATATTCCTTATGTTAACTATGTACCTATAAAGAAGTACTATATTTCTTAAGTGTTCCAAAGTTACTCCTAGCAAGTTTTATTGGGTGAGCATGTGTTATTTGATTGAAGTTGCAGCCTGTACAAAGCAATTTGGGCAGAAAATAGCAGAAACACACAGGGTGTCCCTTCTGGTTATTTTGATCCCCTTTGTGGACAAACCCATCAGCAAAACGTTACTTCTCTCCCCCAAACCTTTCTGAAAAAAGTTTAATTATTCCCTCCCTTCCCCATGATTAAACAATCTGTGTTTTCAAAGCAAACCATAGCACTAATGTCCATTAAAGGAACTGGACCCTGAAATCCCACCCCTCTGATGAAAAAAAAAACCAAAACCCCAGCCTTAAGATCTCTTTTGGGGTTTTGTTCCAGTGGTGAAATTCAAATATTTTACTATCGGTTCTGTGGGCGTGGCTTGGTGGTGGGGTCCTGTGACTGAGTGGGCGTGGCCAACTCAATGTCACACATGGCCACGCCCTCAGTCACAGGACCTCACCATCACCAAGCCACGCCCACAGAACCCAGTAGGAAAAAAAATGTGCGTATGAGTCCATTCACAGCAGAGCTGCTGCTTCCTTTATGGTTCCTCCGCCCCCACCCTCCCTGGGTCTACCTTAAAGGGACAGGCTGCAGCAGCTCTGCTGTGAACAGAGGAAGAAACGTTCAGATTGGGTGGGCGGGTCGAGCAGCCGGAAGAGGTGAGCGGCAACAGGGCAATCAGGTGGGTGTGGATGGGGCCACCAGGGATTTTTGCCAATAGTTTGGAGAACTAATCGTCCCTGCCAGTTTGGCTAAACCAGGCCAAACGGGGAGAATTTTACCCCTAGTTTGTTCCTATTTATTTTAAACAGTTTTGAACAAAGCAAGAATTTATTTATCAAATGTAACTTACCATATTTACTCCTCCAGACTGATAAGACGAACACATGGCCATCAGAGGGGCCAAGCCAATAGTAGTACCATGGAAGGACATCCCACTGTACCATGTTACAAGAGAGAGAGTGAAATTGTGAATAAAATTTGTCCATCTATGCATGTAGTTACATTTCGAAAGGAGACCATTTTATGTAGCTTAATATAACCGCTTGCACTACACTCTCCTGAGACAAGTGAGGAACTGGATCAGTTCAAATTTTGCATACCATACAAAGTACGATAGATGATCTCACAGGGAGGAACTTAAGAAGGGAGAATTATGAGAAAGCCTCACCCTTCTTCCATTTAAATCAGTAGAAAATACTGATCTAGCCTAGCAGGCCAGATTTGGTCCAAGGTTAGTTATCCTTGCTGTAATTGGAATTTGGGAGGAGTCATACTGTTTCAAAACCAACAACTTACGTAATCAACTGGGCATTGTCATGCTTTTTATTTATTAGTAATCTGCGCCGCCAAGCAAGAAATGACCAAAGCGTTGAATGTGGGTTCGCAGAGATATCACACTTATTGTAGTCATTCCAGATTTCAAGTCCAACCAGAGCAATCCGTATATTAAATGACCTGTAGAACTAAAAGTTGAGGAAGGGGGAAAAGTAGAAGAGTTTTAATTAATCAACAGGTTTTGTCTCTGTGAAACAGCTCTAATATGAGCTGCCTTTCTAAGAAGGTTTTCTGACAGATTTTTTCTTATTATTTCTTCCTGAAAAGTAAATGTCCATATAGACCAGGGGTGTTAAACTGGCAGCCTGCGGGCTGGATGCGTAACATGCAGGCCACGCCCACCCCAGCTCCCTGAATGGGGAATATGTCATGAAACATCACAAGACAGCAATGTGACACGGCAAGTTTGATACCCATGGTATAGACCAGGGCTATCAAACTCCCGGCCCATGGACCGGTTGCGTCACATGCTGGCCACACCCATGCCCAGTTTAGCAAAGGGGAAAAAGTCCTGATACATCACGTTACACCACTGTGACAACGTGAGTTTGATTCCCATGGTATAGACAATATGATGATGTTTCAAAGAACTCCTGCTGAATTGAGTTCTTTGTGGTTTTCAGGTTTCTGGGATTGGTCTCCAAACAGAAAAGTTATTGTGAAGGACAGAAGCAACCTACACCACTTCTCTGCTCCAAAAGCACCCATCTACCATCAATGGCATTCTTTCGTTCAACACTGTTATAACATTTTCAATATCACAGGGGAAAATGAAATATAAAAATTCATATTACTAAGGTCCATATTAGTCAAGATATCCTATACTACTGAATCAATGAGAAAGGGTTTTAAAAAATATCAACCATAATGGTATATCTTAAAATGAGATAAACAATTTCTTTTATTTAGGCATTGGACTCCTCACATAATGTCTACAAAGAGTTGGTTAATAGCTGCGTTATGACAGAAGTGTCATACAGATGAGAGAACACTTACTCCTGTGTTTTTTAAAATCTTCTGCTCAATTATGTCCAATTCTTGGAGAATGCCTAGACAGGTCTCTGAGGTTTTCTTGACAAGATTTTTCAGAAATAGTTTGCCATTGCTTTCTTCCATAGGCTGAAAGAGTGTTTGGCCCAAAGTCACCCAGTTACTTTTGCACCCCAAGATGGGACTAGAACTCAGTCTCCTGGTTTCTAGCTTGATGCTTTAACTACTCCACCAAACTCTCAGCTCATATGACATTATGATAAGATTCTATATGTTCCCTTTTTGCTTAATATTCACAAAATTATTAATACACTATTATAAAGATCACTGTTGTTTAAAGATGTGAAGATGCCCTCAAACTGTATACCAAAATTTTGGAATCTACAGTTATATCCATAATTATTCATGATTGCAGATTCCGGAATTTTGATATATGATCATGATGAGGGGTAGAAAGAAGAATCATTATTTCAGAGTTATTCTGGATTTACCAACTAGGATTACAGATATGTAATCATTTTCTCTTTATAAAGCAACATTCCATTGATAGCATGGAAAGGCTGATTATATATTATCTAAAATTTGGCTGCATGACTTATAAAAATACATGAACTTTCTAATGAAACCTTTTCCTTCCTATAGTTGTATGTTCCTTTTTTCCTATTTCTCTTTAATTTTCCTTTTCACATAAAAAGAATATATACTTTTAGAAGATAAATATTAATTGTTCAGTAACTGTATTTTAGTAATAGAGTAATTAAATTTAAAGGCAACTCTCCCACAACCTTGTTTTTACTCCAAGTTTCTTTCTTCTATTTATTAGTTTCCATTTTTCTTTTTTAGAAAATGTGGGAAATTACACAGAATAGGCAGTTAAATATTCAGCTTTTCCTGGTTTGTTATTTTAAAAGATAACAGGTTTTCCTTTAAAACATAAAACATAAAATATATCTGGTCTTACTTTATCTACATAATTGGCAGCTTCCACTAATTTATTCTTGGTTGCTTGAAGATCATATTTATTTTTCTGAAACTGTAATAGAAAAATAAATTCAGCCATAATCAGTGCTGCTGAACTGCAAAATAATCTATCAAAACCATGTTACAATATACATTTTCATAAATACAATGAATAAGGTGCACTATGATGCATATATAAGTCTAAGTGTCATTGTTATTGCTAAGTGCTAAACAATAACATATGAACGGTGTCCCAACTTCCAAAGCCAACAGAGAAATCCAGGGAGGTTTGCTTCCCATTTCTTCCATTTTTTACCTACAACAGTTGAGGCATTATCTTAAGCACAGACTTCAGAAGCGTATGGATCTTTGGGAACAAAAACTTGCGTTTTAGAAAACAATATTTTTAATCCTTCTTCCCTATGGTCAGCTGGTTTCATTACCTTCATTTAGCCTTATGGCAACCCAATCTACCTGAATGTATGAATATACATTTCTATAATTTGTTATTAAGGAAACATAATTTAATTAAGTGCATTAATTTATGTAACAAAATATAGAAAGGAAACATTTGGAATCTCAAGAATCTCCTTTATTGTTTTTCTCCCCCTTCTCTCTCACACACACCTTCTCCATAGTGGGAAAGAAAAATGAAATGGCACTTTTGTTCATTTTACTAAGAGTATATTATAGCCATAACTCAGCAGAATCTGCACAATTTAAGCTATAATTCATGAGTAAGACAAGACGGCTTATTCACTCTGAGATAATTGAATAAAAATTTATTGGGTATATTATTATGCACCTTATACTTCACAAATTCAGAGTGACATAATTGAAGACTCAGGTGTATGATGTATGGATATGTGCTATGACTATGAATATAGCTGTCGCCATGGCTAGGAATATATATATTTCTTTGTATCAAGTGTAAATTAAAAATAGGAAAAAAATAGTCAAGTAAATAGCCAGTGAGACAATCAAATTACCCCAGAGATATGATGTCAGCAGTAGTCCTGTCTTTGAAAAGAACCGAGCAGAAGGAAAAAGAATTAAAATTAAAAATTCATGAATGATCTAATGTCCTATTGGGAATTATACTAGCTAGTTCCAGTAATTGATTAGAAACAGATTCCAGACATATTCACACATAATGTTTTATTTGGGCCTTCCAGTCATCCAGGACACAGCTAGAAATAGTGGTCACACACCCAATTTGGTGTTCTTGAAGGAGTGGTACTTTTTGATCTGGGGTTAATAATCATTTCTTTGATCCCTTTGTCATTGTCAGATCACAGTTTGGTAGCTATGATTGTCTCCTGAGTTGCACCCCTTCACGGGGGAGGGGGGAACCTATTAGATTGGTCTGCTCCAATGACTGATTGACCCTAATGGGTTTCAGAGGGAGCAAGGAGGTTATCAGCTGCATAGTCCTGCCAAGTCCCTAGTTGCCATCTGGAATAGGAAGGTGAGTGAAGTTCAGACAAGATTGTGCCCAAGTTGTATCTCCTAACCTGGGGAATCTTGGTGTTTTCTATGGTATATGAAAGAATGCAGAGATATTAAATGGATTAAGAGATATCTAGAATGCAGCTGGTGAATGAACAAAGAATGAACTCAACAACTAAACACTGATGTTAAAGAAGCACTTGCCACCACTTAAATCCATCTACCTCCACCATTACCACTAGTTACCTAAAGCAACCAAAAAGTTTGGTTCAATGTGCAGATGGCAGAGTTCTTTTGCAGAGAACCCTGCTGCTACTGCAGTCTATAAACTCCAAGGAATCCCAGATTATATTCTAAGATATCATCTCCGTTAACTCAATGTATCGGGTGTCACCTGATTGAGGGATTTTGTCTACAAGTGTTCTGCAAATCAGTCACAGTGGCCTACTAGGAAATCTTCTATTCCCAGATTGAATGGGATTCAGGACATTTTAAACAATGCCATGGATAAAATTTCGCAGACACAATAAATCTGTTGCACCATTCTTATTGCCATGAACCTGAGTTGTATATGTGTTAATTGTATTTTTCCTTGTTTTGTGACATCAGAATTCTGGGTGTCTTTTCAGCTGTTTCATCCGCAGATCTCCTCTGTACACTAAGGATCAACAATTAAAGGGAGGCAACTCAGAAACAATCATATCCTTGTAGTTGGAGTTGTAGACACTGACCAGGCACATGGCAGTACTGCCTCTTAAGTCTCTGGCAGGACAGTAAACAATCAAAATTATTTTTCACAAAACTGATACTAGGATTTCCCCAGGTTAAGGTAACATAACTGGGATTTTGGATCACTGATTTGTCCTTGTTATGTAGTATCTTATCTGTCCTGAATTCACCACTAATCAGACATAATGAGCAACTTTCTTACTTCTGCATAATCAGCTACTAATAGAAGCTCCACATATTTCATTGATTGTTGATCATCCCTCTTCACCTATGGCAGAAACACAAAAAATACATGCTTGGGGTTTATTTTGGTCAAACAATGAACCTGTTATGCAATACAATAGCAGAGTTGGAAGGGACCTTGGAGGTCTTCTAGTCCAATCCCCTGCCTAGGAAGGAAACACTACACCATTTCAGACAAATGACTATCCAACATCTTCTTAAAAACTCCCAGTGTTGGGGCATTCACAACTTCTGGAGGCAAGCTTGTTCCACTGATTAATTGTTCTAACTGTCAGGAAATTTCTCCTTAGTTCTAAGTTGCTTCTCTCCTTGGTTAGTTTCCACCCATTGCTTCTTGTTCTGTCCTCAGGTGCCTTGGAGAATAATTTGACTCCCTCTTCTTTGTGGAAGCCCCTGTGATATTGAAAAACTGTTATCGTGTCTCCCCTAGTCCTTCTTTTCATTAAACTAGACATTCCCAGTTCCTGTAACCATTCTTCATATGTTTTT